CTAACTTCAAGTACCTGTCAACATACAGCAACCCCATGAAATGCAGTGTATCAGGATTATAACTATGCAATAATGGTCATGTCACATACACCTCAGAAGGGACACTCATCAAGAAAGCATGTAAACATACTGTTCTTTTAAAACTGAAGAGAATTCTTCCCTTCTTAGCTACACAGGCCTAGAAAACAAGGTTGTATTTGGGAATGAGGCTGAAGGGATTAAACCAAATCCACACAGAAAAGCAGATTCAGTGGACTCTTTGTTTATCTGCATTTGCTTTGCACTCAGCAAAGTATTGGTCCAGAAATCGGAGGTACAATGAGAAATTGGCTTTCAGCAGTGATTTATCTAGCTGACAAGATGTTGACAAGCTGAATGTTAGAGTTTCTGAAGCCATTTGTGATGGGTCTATTGTTTCTAAAGCAGCGACTTTCCAGAGATACTTTGTGTCATAACTCACCAAATAAGGAAATATATTTTTGCCTTGCACCTTTCTATACAACTGATCAGATACAGCACAAAATGTTCTCAAGTATTCTATCAATGTCATTTATTCATGTGCACAAACTTAACGTTTTGTCTGTCACTCTGAAAAACATCATCTGCCATTCCTTCATGCAAAATCATAAGATAGTGGTCCAAATCAACAAGAAAGCATCAAAGACATTCCCTTTTCAGATGGAACATACCAAGTGCAATCAATCTATATGGAATCCAGGGTTTGTTAGAAGATTCTTTCAATGTCTATTTTTAAATTATGGAAATTATGCTAAAATTATTTTGGTTTCTTTTTAAAATATTCATTGAAGTGTGGTAAATTCTGCTTACATTGATCTTTAGCACGAACATTCCTACGTCTCTAAGTCTCTTGTGAATGCCAAAAGGCTATTCTAAAAGAAAGTGTTTACTATCAACCTGGAAGTTATTTTCAAGAACAAAACATGGTTTCTCACGCCTTTATGTTTACTTTGGAAACCATTTTACAACGTAACATGCAAAAGTAATTCCTTGCCCTTCTGATTTAGTATCAGGCACCTCAAGTTTCCAGAAAAGCTGTCCAAAAGCTTTGGAGGTTTTTAAAGCATTCAAATCTGTTTTGCACTTGAGAAAAAGCCCTAGTTGTAAGACATTTCATCACTGTTCTCTGGGCAAGCATCCAGAAGCCATACCTTACACAGCAATTTGGAAAGCACAAAAGCTCTTTCATAAGGGTTCAAAGAAAGTGCAAGAGAGTTATGTTAAACCTAGCATCTCTTTCCACCTCCATGTTCCAAAATACAAACTAGCAAAGCATTTTAATTACCCTCCCTCACTAATTTTTTATTATCTTTGTAAGAACAAAAGCCACTGCTCTGCATATTAAATTCAAGGTGCACAAAATACGAAGAGAATGAAGTTGTTTTAGTAACAAGATGCCTGAGGCATGCCCAAAATGCTTTTGGCAGGTGGTTAGCTACTGCAGAATCCAGATGTCAGAAATACGTTTCTCCTTTTCTATTTCCCTCTTGGACTGAAAGTACATAAAAGCAAGTGTCGTGCACAAAAATGTGTAATTTTAATTCCAACAGTTAACCTTTGATAGACCTTTTGACAATTCAGATGTTCAAATGAGACTGATTCTACAACATGAACAGCTAGATGTAAAATGTTTCGTCCTACATACAGTAGAGTCTCGCTTATTCTAACCTTCACTCATCCAACATTCTGTATTATCCAACGCAGTATGCCTCCCGCCTGGATCCACAGCTGTTTCAATACATTGCGATGTTTTGGTGCTAAATTTGTAAATGCAGTAATTACTACATAACGTTGCTGTGTATTGAACTGCTTTTCTGTCAATTTGTTGTAAAGCATGATGTTTTGGTGCTTAATAAAACCATGACATGACATTTAATAGCCTTTTCCTTAATCCCTCCCTATCTGAACATGAGGAAGAACTTCCTGACTGTGAGAGCCGTTCAGCAGTGGAACTCTCTGCCCCGGAGTGTGGTGGAGGCTCCTTCTTTGGAAGCTTTTAAACAGAGGCTGGATAGCCATCTGTCAGGGGTGATATGAATGCAATATTCCTGCTTCTTGGCAGGGAGTTGGACTGGATGGCCCATGAGGTCTCTTCCAACTCTTTGATTTTATGATTCTATGATTCTATTATCCAACATTTTCGCTTATCCAATGTTCTACCCAGCCCATTTATGTTGGATAAGCAAGACTTTTACTGTAGTCATATATGAAGTATTCATAAGATTTAAAGGGATGGTGATGATATTCAAAGCCCTATCAACAGCCCATCTGTTGGGGGTGTTTTGAATGCGACTATCCTGCTTCTTGGCAGGGGGTTGGACTGGATGGCCCACGAGGTCTCTTCCAACTCTAGAATTCCAGGGCTTGGAGCCTCAATACTTGAAAGGATCTTCTTCCCATATATGCCTGCCTGAGGACTGAGAGAAGTCTGCCTCTACATCCCATCAGTGGACACGGGACAAAGCATTCTCAGTTGTGGTATTGCACTTGTAGAACACACTCTCCCTGGAAGTCTGACCGTCACAATCATTTGTCTCTTTTCAGAGCTAGATCAAGACATGGCTTTTTATTAAAGCTTTGGGCCCTAAATTTACAAGAATTTTAAAACACGTGACTGGCTTTTTTAAACCCATTTCACATATTTCAACTGGTTTATTTTATTGAGCTGTTTCATACACTTCTATCTCATCTAATCTATTGTTTGATTTTAATTATTTAACTGGTTTATATAATTCAGATCTGTTTGCCACCCTTAGTGCTCAGGGTAAAAGGACAATATTTAAATATTTAAATAAATGAAATGCCTTGCCAGATCCCCTAGAGAGGTGAGATATCAACCACCCACATGAATGCAACACTCATACGTGCCACAATTAATATCACTCATACTTGATTGGAAATCAACGCAGCAATTTCACTGCAACGAGTATCTGTCAATTCTGGGGACTGTTTCAACAAATCAACCTAATGAATTTATTTACCAAATCATTTGCTGAATATTCTTCTACTTCTTACACCATTCCACTAATCACACATATTCATGAAAATATGCAATAAAATCAAACCTACACTTTCTATGACAAGATTTTTACCAACTGTCCTATGTATTTATTCATGTGCCTTTGATTAGGTAGTTCATCTCAGAATTTCCCGACCTATCCAACTCCTGCAATTTAACATCATCTCTTTCTGGCACTTCTAACACTTTAATAGCCTAAGGACATTTGCCTCCTAGCCCAGCCCTTCGATTGTCACACTTTCCCTGGCTCTACTTAGGATTCATTGCACTTTGTAATTATGAACCAGACCCAGCACTTTATTTGCTCAGCCATGATAGCTTTTAATCATTTTTATAATGTTGTCTGATTTTATGTTTATTGATATTTTATATTGCTTGTTTTCCTATGCTTATTTTAACCTATTTTCTTGGACATGTCCCTTTATAAGCCACTTCGAGTCCCTTCAGGAGATGGAGGCGGGGTATAAAATAAAGTAGTAGTAGTAGTAGTTGTTGTTGTTGTTGTTGTTGTTATTATTATGTGTAGCATTGACTTTAAAAGGATTCAATATCTTTAAGCCTGTGTGTTCTTTTCCATCTTCCCTTATTGGTTTATTTGCTTTCTACAATCCTATTTTGCAACAACTGAGATGACAACAACTCCTTGAAGATCAGTGGAATCTGCAGAATACCTTGGGCCCATGCATGAACTTACCAAATTCTGTAATAAAGGTCACAGGAGACCTACAATACAATAGAAGTTTTTTTTAAGTATCAGGAGTGACTTGAGAAACTGCAAGTCGCTTTTGGTGTGAGAGAATTGACCGTCTGCAAGGATGTTGACCAGAGGAAGCTCGGATGTTTGATGTTTTGCCATCCCTGCGGAAGGCCTCTCTCATGTGCCTGCATGGGGAGCTGGAGCTGACAGATGGGAGCTCAACCCGCTCTCCCTGGATTCAAACCACTGACTTGTTGGTCAGTAGTCCTGCCAGCACAAGGGTTTAACCCATTGATTTGCTGGTAAGAATTCTGAGGGGGAAGGCCTACAAGCCCAAATACTGTACACATAATGATTCAGACTCAGATGGAATAAGGCTAAACCTAGGAAATAATTTGTTTAAAATTATTAATTGCCCTGTAATGTACTTTTAATGGATTATGGTTGTAAAATTCACCATTTTAATTGTTAAATGCCAATTATACCATTCATTCAAATCTAGTGTGTCACTGATTGTAATACACACCTCAGTTTTGAGGTGAGCATTAGAATAAACTTGATTTACCAGAGAAGTAAGGAGAATTGGCATCTACTTTGTCCAAGTATTTTTTTTCTCCCCTTTTTATTACAAAGGTTTTTCAAGACATCTACTTTTTAAAAAAGCCTTGTTGGTTGGCATGTTCTGGCACTTGCAATGTAAAAATGGACCTTTTCCAAAAACAAGATAAATTAGCTGGGTGGGGGGATTCTGAGACTTGCAGTCCCTCTCAAAAATATTTTCCAAGCACTTTTTTTTCCAAAAAAAGGCCATTTCAAATTAGCTATTTTGCCACCTGTTGGATGGGGGATTTTGGGACTTTCTTCCAAATCCAACCATGTTTCTTTTATTTTAAAAGCTGAGAATGGAAGGAATCCCCTTTCCCTACCCTCTCAACTAGGAGGCGAAAGAAAATGACTTTGGAAGGAGGGAGGATCTATCATCTAAAATTTCAAAATTATTATTTATCTTGATAGAGCTATTGTTTCTAGTCAAATAAAATAAAATATGATCTAGACTTTCATTAAAAGAGACAATGTTTGAGGCTTATGACCAATTGTAACAAGAGACTTATGAATATAACCATTACTGGTGACAGTAATATAAACATTTCAAGGAAGAAGTGGTTTCAAGCTCTAGAAAGGAGCCACCATTGAAAGGGCAGGTAAATGATGCATTGAAAAGCATAATCACCACTACCACGCAACATCAACTTAGAGTTGACATACCTTAGATGCTTGAGGTGTTGAGATCACATGGACTGTGCTGGGTTTGACGCCATTTGCTTTTGGTCTCTTATAGAGAGCAAACCTGCTTTTCCTTCGTCCCCTATCACCATTAGGAAGGGATCCATTGTACCTGGAAAAAAAATGCAAAAGTTATTTCAGATAAAATAAACTATTGGGTATTTAACGAAAAGTTGAAAGTGATCATAAGGACTACATGGGCTTTGTATCCAGTGGCAACACAACAAAAACTACAGAGCTAAGACTAGGGAAAAGAGACCTTTTTTTTTTTTTGGGGGGGGGGGCATTCACCTTTTTGTTTCCCTTTTTTCTGAGTTAAATAATGCTTACGAAGTAATATATAGTAGAGTCCCACTCAGTTTGTGAGGTGGGACAATACTATATACAGTACTATTTTTCACAAATCTTATCAATTTCTTAAGGATTAGGTTTTTCATGAAATATTACTGAATCAAAACAAGGCAGCAAGCACAGGTTGTCCTTTATAAACCAATAAAACGCCATCTGAATTTCTCCTGCCTCCTGCCCCACACCCTCCGCCGCAACCAGCTGGTACCATTGCAAAATGTGCAGCCTTATAAGGATCTCTCTTCATTTAGCCCCGTGGTTCTCAACCAATGGGTCCCCAGGTGTTTGGGCCTACAATACCCAGAAATCCCAGCCAGTTTACCAGCTGTAAGGATTTCTGGAAGTTGAAGGCCAAAAGATGTGGGGACTCACAGGTTGAGAACCACTGATTTAGCTCTTCCCTGTCTGACTATGCTGTCCACCCCAAATTGTATTGTGTAGCCCTTTTCAAAAATGGTTTTGCTAGATGTGTGTGTGTATTTAACCATATATTTGTTGTTTCATATTTTATTGATTATCTTGACTCTTTAAGTATAAACATTAATTAAATAATAAATAAATAAATGTTTCACCAACCATGGCAATTGGATCCTTATAGTATTCAGATTCTAATATTCAGCATTCCCAAAACAATACAATAATTATGGAAAACCTCGCTTTGTTGTACTGAAGAGTGTGTGTGCGCGCGCTCAAACGCCTTACAGTTGCTTGTCAACTTATGGTAACCTTATAACTTTCATCAGTTTTTTTTAAGGCAAGGAATCCTCAGAGGTGGTTTTGCAAGTTCCTTCCTCCGAAGAAGAGACTAAAGCAGTTGGTATTTGTTAACTAGGGCTGACCCTGCTTAGATTCCAAGATCAGATGCAATCTGCTTCTCCAGGGCATTCAAGCTCAACCCTTATAGAGATGAATGTCTGAAAATCACTACATCTGAGCTTTTAAGAACACCCTGCCCTTGTTGGAAACTTTAACACACAAATTTAGTAAGCCAAACCACTAGTAAGGTCAGTTCCACTACCAGTAACCACATTAAAGTCAACTGGAACAACCAAATAGAAACCTAACCAAAGAATCATGGAAATCTCAGCACTTGGTCTTGAAGATATTCACTGTTGGTAGAAATCCTACATGTTAAACAGACACCCCATGTCCTATCCACAGCATAGCGAAGGCCACTTATAATGGAAAAACGTGATGATTTCTATGGCTAAAGCACATGCCTCAACTGTAAATCTGCCAACTCTGCAACATCTGTTGGTACAACTAAGTCCATATCATATTAACACAGTAGTTTCATTTTTCACAACAGAAAAAATTGCAATCAGTCACCTTTCTTGGTCTCCATCACATTTATTGCCTGAGACAAACTTTTCACTTCACCTTCCTTTCCATGCTCCCATTATGAAAATATAATGGTTTGATGTTCAAATACTCTTTATGAGTGAAAGTTGGAAATCAAAAATGGCTACCTACAATCTGTCCCTCATGAATCCCATCTGCATCAACACAAGCGGAACGGATGCCATAGCATACAGTAAAAAATACATAAACAATCTCTTAAAGTCTACAGCAGTGGTTCCCAACCTGGTTCACCAGTGGTCTGCAAAAATTAAAATATGGTCCGTGGTTCACCAATGGTCCGCAAAAATTAAAATATGGTCCGCTGCCTCACCTCACCGTTACTACACCTCTGCAATGAGAGTTACTGGTTTCGCAAAACCCTCTTATATTGCCGACAGGGATGTCAGGAGGGGAGAGGCTGACTACCAACTAAAGGTATGACAACAAGCTCATGACTGCTACTTCTCCTCCTTCTTCCCCCTGAGCAAGCCATTCCATGTGACACCTGGAAGCAGGAATGCTTTGGTGTCTTCATTTTTAGGCCTGTTCCTGGGTTATTTGGGGTGCTGCTTCAGAAAACTGCATTTGATAAACCACATCAGCTCTAGATTATTAAATATGATTGTCTGTGGGTGAGCAGATGGCAACTACTGGATGGCATGTGTTCTGTATCAGAAACCAAAGCTGATGTGGTCTATCCAATGCAATTTTCTGAATCAGCACCCCAAATAACTAAATCAAATCTAAAGTTGACCAAAAACCGATTCATTGCCCTTTTGGTACTAATGTTGGAGAGTGGTCCCTGGTCAAAGTGGTCTCTGGTCAAAAAAAGGTTGGGAACCACTGGTCTACAGGAGCTATCTCCACTATCATAAAATAAACTGAAATAGAAAGGAGAAGGTACTGACATACAACCAGCTTTCTTTGTCCCATATATGAATTAATTTCCCTTTATTTGTTGAGACCCATGCTGGGGCAAAGGTGGGATAACAACAACAACAAGAAGATTTATTAAATGTATTCAGGTTTTGTATTCTGGTATAGCTTCCAATTATCTCCGCTAACACAATATTTCTTGTTTAGAAATGGCAAAGAAGATAGTGGGAGAAATAAGAAGAACTCACAAATAATCCTTAGAAGATAACAGCAAAACAAAATTAATTGATTCCACATTCATTTTTAAAAGGCGTTTTATAACATAATAGAAAGACAGATAGGATGTGGTTCCCATTATCAAAATGCAAGGCAACATGATAGACAAGAGCTTTCAAACTGTGTATCAGCTTCAGTGTGTAGCTGTGTTGCACAAATGTAAGAAAGAGTGTTACCTAACAAATCATATTTTTAAATAAACAAATAAATAAACAAAAGGGCTTCCTGGGATATATTGTGTTCCCATAAATTTCATGTATGTATTTGTATCTCTTATAAGCAGTCAGTTTAATAAAATTAACAACAACAATAATAACGCCTCCGATTTGCTAGTAAAACTGAATTACTGTGTCTCAAAATGGTATATGGCTAAAAAGTATGTCATCAACATAAAATGTTTAGAAAGCCATGTGCTGAATGTCTTGCAACTGTTCTATGACCTCCTCAATGTCTCCAAAGGCAGAAACAGAGAAAAATTAAGATTTCCTAATATTTTGGACTTTGTTAGATCAGCTATAAAAACCACAACTAAAAGAAATATAGCTCTTTGTGGTATTTTCTCTTTCTTTGTTTGATAAATTTATATTCTACTTTTTAATGTAAAATCTTTTCCATGCACTGAGCGTCCATCCTTCTCAGAAATTTTAGCACTATAAGTGACACATTTCTTAAAGGAAGCCAGCAAGACAACAAACCTCAAAGGGCGAGAGTGTGGCCTAAAGTGCCTATGCAAAATCGCCAAACAAGTAAAGGTCAAATTAGAGAAAGAAGCCAAAGACAGGTCAAGCTGAAGGGGAAAACAGAGACAAAGTCCAAGACGGAAGTCAAATCAATGCTGTAGAAGCAACTGAAATTCTAGTCAACATTTCTGATGATGATGGTGATGATTGGCCACCAGCTCCCAAAGCAGTTACTATACTCCCAACTCAAGAATGGGAAATGTAATGTTTGTGGACAGGAAAAAAGATTAAGATATGGGCTTAAAGCCAACCTTAAAAATTGTGGCATAGCTGGCCCTTGAGCACTCTAGCTGGAGGTCAGTTGTGACCAGCAGTGCTGCAGAATTCAAAGAGGCACAAATGGAGGGCAAAAAAACATGCAAAGAGGAAGGTGTGTCAAGCCAACCCTGACCGGGACAGCCTTCCACCTGGAAAGTGATGTCCTCACTATGGGAGAACATGCGGATCATGAATAGGGCTCCACAACCACCTACGAACCCATCACCAAAACACCAGACTTGGAGGACTCTCGGGCTATGAGGGATCGCCTAAGCGAAGTGAAGCAAGCTGCCTTGATTCCCCTTCGGGATAAATAGGGCAAATAAATAAATAACTTCATCCAATTTTAAACGAACTTCTGGATAGCATAGGGAAGGGTTAACACTCTTCCCTAACATTTTTGTTTTGCTGTCTGTGACCCTGTTGGAAAGATTTCACCTCACTTTCTATCCCTATGACAGCTGGATTTTGAACATTTTGGGTTGATGTGGAAACAAGGATTGGTGATAAAGCTTCAGTGGAGACACCTTTTTCCTATGATATGTCTTCCAAGAGTGAATTTCCCATCCTAGTGGTAGATTTCCTCTCACTTCCTGTTGTCGCATCCTCATTTGTAACTAGGAGTCATACGTAAGTCGGAAGTTTGTAACTTGGGGACTATCTGTATATACTGGCACTGGAGGTGACCGGGTTTATTGCCAAACACACTATAAAATTCGGAATGATGCATTGCACAGGAGCAGATGACCCATTTAGTAAGTCATGGAGACTATGAGAAGTATCCCATTTGCCCACTGATTGATTAGGAAACTTAATTAAGGTGGTTTAACAAATTCTTTCCTCTGACGTATTGGTTATAAAATACCATATAATATTTATTATTAAAATTAGATATCTGGTTAATATTCTACATGGAATTCTACACGCATTAAAATGTGTATTTTCAAACTTTGCATAAATAATTCTTGTTTAATAACCATTTATTTTAAGCTTGGTTTACCTCATTCAAGATATCTAACTCTCACGTGTAAATAAAATACACCCCCAAAAATATCATTCGGTAAATGGACTGATCTGCTGTTGTGCACTTGTGACTAAGCAGGAATTCATACCCTTGTATTCTGGAGTTCTAGTCCAACACTCAAATCCGCCCAGGCTGGCTCTCTAATTAGAGCGTCATGGCAAAAAATTTAATGCCAAACATATATGTGAAAAACCAAATCATAAAATCAACAATAATATATAACTATGAATTAAAACTATTAAAACATAA